ACACATTTTGTAGATCATCGTCATCCTGAACCTGCAGCTGATAAAATTTTATTTGGTTGTTGCCAAAAAGTACTGGATGTTGGTAGAAGATTTGTGCCACTGGACCACGTTAAAGTTTCATCTCTAGTCGTTTTTTGAAATACGAGAAATTTACTTTTCTATTTAAACAAAAACAAATATTATCGATGTTTTGAAAGAAAAAACCGGATACATCACAATGGTATGTCTCACCATTGAAGTGTGCGTTGATAACATATTGTGGTGAAAATAACATTTTGTTAGTTGAGTGTTTGAGTAATTGAGGGTTTGAGTGTGTGAGAGATGATGAAATAAACTGGTCTGTGTTTAATATAAGTGTGATGTGCAGATGAAATGAACAAGACAAAGTGTCAATCAAACAATTGTCACCCATAAGTTATGTGGGATGGCACATCCTTTCATTTTTGGCCTTAGGCGCCATATGGGATGGTTCATCCCTATTAGGCCTGCACCATAGCTGCCACACCTATGCCCTGCCACCTACTCTGCACCCTATTCTGCACACAAGATTCTACATAGCCTGCACACTAGCTGGACACTAGCCTGCCTCACGCCATGTTAAATGGCGCATCCCTTTTATTTTTCATGCAGGCGCCATCCCACATGGCTTGTGGGTGACACGTGTCTGGCATGCAAACATCCCCTCAACCACCACATAAAACCAACTCTCTTCTATTCTCCTATAAATACCCGTCACACTTGATTTGTTTTGCATCACCACTAATCCTCACACTCTCTGATACACACTCTTACACTCTCTGATACAATTTCTAAATCACTTTCAATTATGTCTCTCCTAACATTGAGCGATAATCATAGAGGAACAAGAGAAAACATTGTCGAATTTGTAAGTTATAATTTATTTATGTATATTTTGCATTGTATATTTTTTACAACATATTCATTTATACATACACAATTCATTTATATATGTATTTTGAATCTAGAATACGTCGAGATTCCGATGCCGCTCACACTATTATGTTGCTCCCGACCCGTTGATCATTCCTGCCGGTTTTGGACATGTTATTAATATTTCTAATAGCACGATTGATACGAGGTTCATACTCGCATTGTTGGAAAGGTGGAGACCCGAAACACACATCGGGATGTCAGATGTATGGTCGAATATTCCCCAACCAACCCAACTTACCATCAACTCTCACATCACCATAGCACCCAACAATTACAGTACCAAACTCCACAAGATCCATTTTCTTTTTACCTCTCTTATTCAGACGACCAATGCTATTGACAACCAATGATACTCTATCCCGCATCAACACGACCAAACTTTAAGGACATGAGTAACCGACTCTTTGAAAGCGGATCTTTCGGATATGCTGGTCTGGTGAATTTCATGGATCCCGAACGCATTGACTTCGCAGGGCCTTCGATCCAACCGCAACAGGAAAATCGTCGAAATGCACCACGAGTTAGGCGAGGTCGTGGATGCAGAGTCACAGATCGTTATCGAGTCCCGGGAGATAACTAAATAATATGTAATTTTTATTACCATTATGTATTCGTTTAATTATTATTGAAAATCGAAGTTTCAATTCAGTCAAATTGTCTTTTATTCTTTTAACAAAAACAAAAAGGGAAATAACACCTAAGCGGCATCTGAGATGGCTTAGGACTTTTCACATGCACCTAGACGACATCTCATTTGACGTTACCTTTAAAAAAATAAATGCATGTATCATTTGAGATGATTGAATTTTATATTATATTTTTAAAATATAATTATTTACGTAATTTTCTCCAAATTACTATAAGACAATGAATGACCAACAACATCTCCATTAACCACTATTGTGTTGTTAATATGTACGGTCATCAGCATTTAAAGAACGGGTAAGCTTAGTCAGTATGCTTATCCTTGCACTAATGCTTTGGAGCCGTCACAATCTCTCATTTTCCACGCACTTTTTGTTTTTGTGATTATCCATAATCCTCTTTCATCACCATACATCACTTATCACTAATTGCATTCACTTACCATCACGCCTCATCTTTATTCATCCCATTGAAGGCAGCTCTATAGTCAATCACAGTCGTACCTAAGTTGTTTTGTCTCAATATAATTGTTATATTTATGTACTTTGTGTTTTAATTAGTACTATAGTTTTGATTTTGAATATCAATAAAACATTAACTATTTTGTTACATCATTATATAATTTATTAGTCTCTTCAGTTTTTTTAATAATATGATTTAAGTATAAAACTCTCCCACCAAAATAGTAGTAAATTATTATACTTCTTCTATTTCACAATAATTATAGTTGTATTGTTTTCTATTTTTATTGTTTTAAATTATATATTTTTTAAATATTAATGTAATATTTATTATTTATGTTTATTAATTTATTCTTGTTAATTTTACTATTTATTAATAAATTGTTTTAATAAATAATATTCATTTTATCATTGAAATTAAAATAATTGTTTATTATTTTAAAAAGTGTTAAAATTTCAGAAAAACAACTAATATATGACGTAATGAGTAAAATTTTTCTTATTGGTTCACAATTTACTTTCTCATTTCTATTGCAAATATAGCAACACACTCTCCATCTTTCAAATAAATTTCCTACTTTTCTTTACAAACTCTCTCTCATAAAAGAAAATTTTAATAAAAAAAGAACTTTAAAAAAAGAACAAAATTTATAGAGAAAGAAAGAAAAGTTAATTTTATGAAAAATATAGAAGTATGCGTTAATTTGAATTTTTTTTTTAAATAATCAAATTTTAAAATTTTATTATTAAACTAACCAACCTTTCCCATTATCCGTGGATTTTTTCTGGAGATTTAATATTTTCAGCAAATTTATTTGTGAATTTACATGCGGATTAATTTTTCGCAGGTGATTTCATAGATAAGTCCGCAGATAATGTCAAATCTGCAGAAAAATCTATAAATAACTGAAAAATTTTAAAAATATATAAGAGACGTTAATTCAAGTGACACCTCTTTTTTAATTAATTTATTTTTTTAAAATATAGTTAGATTGAGGAAGATTGATTAGTTTAATAATAAAATTTTAAAATTTGGTTATTTAAAAAAAAAATTCTGTTAATTTTATAGAAAATGTGTAAAAATAGCTATTGAGAATGTTGGAACTATGTGTGTGAATTGAAAAAAATTTCTTTTTTAAGTCTCACGTTATTTAGTTTTCAATATCATATAAAAATGCTCATTTTATTTCTAAAAAATATTCTATCTTTTTTTAAGTAAAATATTATATAAAAGAGAATTAAGGATTCTCCAACCTGATTACACAAGAGAACGGAATAATCCGACAAAAAGAGAAATTACAAATCAATTAGAATTATAAAAGAAATAACAAAGGATCTTTGCTAAACTTGTAAAAACTACATTTGGGATGAGTAATTTCTCCACAGAACGACCACTTCCAAATCAACATTTTAATATGCCACACCGAATTGTTAGAATTCCAATCTTCATTCCGGAAACAAATTACATTCCTTAGCAACCACAAGATCCAAAAAGTGGTAAGCCAAACGACATTTGACTTGCCCTCTGTAACCTTTTTAATACGGTAAAACAAGTATCAACCCATAAAATTCAAAAGGCACTCTTCCTCCTCCACTTCCAGTTTGCCAACCTAAGTGGTTATCTCCCTCCAAACATTTTTTTACCACTTTGCACATGAAAAAAGAGTAATCCCTACTTTCAAATTCTATACCACAAAAACTACACTTTAATGAATCTATAGGAAAATAAATACCTCTATACACTAAGAGGTCCTTAGTTAGAAGTCTATTAACAAGAAGTCTCTAACTAAAAGCCTTAATCTTGAATGACACTTTTGATTTCCAAGCCAACCTGAAAGCCACATCATGTCTATTAGGAGGACCCAAAGGAACACACGCACTAGCATAGACCTTGTAGCACGAAGCGATCGAAAATCCCTCCTCCATTTTAAGAGTCCACACAACCGAATCTGAACCTTCCATAGCACCATCGAAAGCTTCCAAGCGCTCTTGCAAAATCAAAAAATCGGCCAAGAGATCCGGATTATTATTCACGGCCGAGGTTAAGCCTAAATCTCCCCACTTCCACTTACCTTCTCTCCACCCCCATGCTCACCACTGAAAATCTCTTCAAACAAGAAATCGAAAATAAAACCGGATAAACCTCCTTCAAAGTATTCTCCTCTAACCACTTAGCTTCCTAAAAAGGAGTATTGTAACCATTACCAATATTAAACCTACTATTAGAAACAATTGATCGTTATTGGAATTGTTCCTAATCAAAATGATATCCCTCTACCAAAAGGAACTTGAAGAAGTAGCTTTGGATGGAACTCCTCCACAAAAAACCTTAATAAATAAATCTCTATACCGGACTTTCAACGCATTGTATCAAAGAGCATTTTGGCATTGAAGAATTCTCCATCTCCATTTATTAAGGAGGGCTAAGTTAAAATTCACCATATTTTTTTATTCCTAACCCCGCCAAACCTTCCGCAACTAAAACAAATAGGAAAGGAGAAAGTGGATCTCCTTGCCTCAAATCTCTCTCAACAACAAATTCTTTAGTAGAACTCCCGCTAACTAAAACAAACATCTTACTTTGAAAGACCAACAAATCCATCCATCTCCTACATTTCAAACCAAACCCCATTCTATTCATCAAATAACATAAGAAATTCCAACTTACTTTATCATAAGCCTTTTCAAAATCTACCTTAAAAAGAAGGCAATTAGAACCCTTTTTATTATCATAATCAAGTACTTTGTTCGCCATCATAACTCCATCAAACAATTGTCTATCCGGTACAAAAGCACTTTGACAAGGAGATATAATGGAATCCAACACCCATTTCAACCTCCCCACCAAAAGTTTAGCTATCGCTTTGTACAAACATCTCCCCAAGCAAGTAGGTCTATATTTATTTAAACTTAAAGGATTTAGAGACTTTGGAACCAATGTCAAGAAAGAAGAAGTAACCGCCTTTGAAACTTCACTACCGATATAAAAGTTATTAAAAAACCAAACAAAGTCGTCTTTAATAAACGTCCAGCACTTTTTAATGAAGAGAAAGGTGAAACCATCCGGACCCGAACTTTCGAATCCACCACACCCCCATATAGCCTCCTTAATTTCGTCTTCTTGAAAAGGACTATCAAGAAACAAGTTTTCTCTTCACTAATAATTTTGAAAGGGATCCCTTCCAACAAAGGCCTCTCACCTTCCGATTCAATAAATTTGTTCAAAAAATGACTTAAAACCACCTCATTTATCTCCGTTACCGACTCCACCAAACGACCCGAAGAAACAATAGGACCTATATGGTTGTGTCTTATTCTATCTTTCATCACTTTATGGAAGAAACCACTATTGGAATCCCCGTGTTTAAGCCATTTCAATCTCGATTTTTTGACAAGCATATTTTCTTTAATTCTCAAGTTCGTCCAAAACCGACTAGTCGCTTCTTTCCTTTTGTCAACGATTTCGGGGATCAAAGCTTCAAATTGAACTTCCAACCTATCATCACCTACATTAATGTCTCTAACTCCTTCCTCCACCTCCAAATCAATTCTACCAAACACTTCCCTATTCCACCATTTGAGTTTTTCTTTAAGAAGTCTTAACTTCTCTTTTAAAACAAAATTCCCTTTTCCTTCAACCTTAAAGTCTTTCCATTCCTTCTCCACAAAGGAATAAAAGAATCAAAAGTAAACCATTCATTGTTGAACTTTAAGGGTTTTGGTCCCTAATTGATATTATCCCACACAATCCATATAGGACAATAATCCAAAATGTCTCTAGAACCAATAAATTTACCAATCACACCCCATCTATTCACAATATTGTCCGACAAAAGAAACCGATATAGACTTACCATCTCCATTATACCACAAGAATTTCTTTCCTTTGCAAGGAATATCCACCAACATATTTTACTCAATGAAATCCACAAAAGACATCATTTCATTGTTGCTCTCTACCTCCACCCTTCCCTTCCTTTCACTCACAATGATCCACTCTCCATCCTTAAAATATTCCTTCAATTCCAACAATTTACTCCATAATAATATTTTTTGCTCAAATCACACAATGAATAAATATTCACCACATAATAAGTATCATTCTTCCATAAAACTTTGATCCCTAAATAAACTTCTCCTTTAAAACTATCCAACACTTCCACCAAACCTTCCTTCCAAAGGGTTATAAGACCATCCGACATACCCGACGATTTGGAAAAAGAATAACCAATTTCGGTATTGCTCCCAAAACTTTTAGCTAAATAATCATGTAAACTAGTTAACTTCGACTCTTGAATCATGAAAACCACCGTATTTCCCTTTTTAATCAAAGAACTAATTCTTCTCCTTTTAAGAGCGTTGTCTCCCCCTCTAATGTTCATGGATCCTATAATCATTTAAAAAACTAAGGAAACTCCTTCCTAACACCCTTCCTTTTCCCATCCACTTTATCCAACACCTCAATTCTACTAACATAATGTTTCCGACCCTCCGAATCCACCAACCCCAAAGCTACTATAGCCAACCAAAGTTTACTTCCAACATTACTATCCCAGAATTCCCACTGTCTATCATTGTTTCTACAAATATCAAAAATTTTCATTTGATTACCATAGAAAACCAGAACGCTTCTGCTATCTTGCCTTGTAGGTACCGAATAGAAGGAAGGAACATAGCCATTCACAGAACCCACCTTTGAAGCAGGAACAAAATTAGAGATACCCTTCGACCAAGTAGAAACCTTCCCCTTCCTCTTAATTCTCTTAGTCGTCCGGAATGGTCTTCTCTTAGGGGATCCAAGAAGAGAACATTGACAACAGAGGTAACCAATCCAGAAAAAACTGGAATCTAAGAACCCTATCCCCCTCTATCAGCCTCTACATAATTATGCCGTATGACTTTGGAAAGAGCCATATTGAAATAAATCATTGATAATTCCTTCGAATGAAAGATGCTACCATTAGGAAGCTCATTTCCATTTCTACTGAAACACCACTCCAACCATCTTGCTATTAACCCCACTGATCCTTGAACCCGAACCAACAACCTCCCCTTGTTCTGAAATTCCTGGATACTATCCCCAGTTTCATCCTTCTCAGAGTTCCCTTTCCCCCCAAACCAATCGTTTGACCAAGCATCTTTCGAATCAGAAGAAGAAGAGCCAGTAATTTAAGTTTTAGATTTATCTGTAACATTGCAGAGCATGCCAAACAAATCTTCCCTGACTACCAAATTGAATAACTTGCCATCAATATCCATACAGACTATTTTGTTTAGATTGAACGATAAAGAAACTCTCAACATAATTCTCGCAACATCAAGAACTGAACCATTTGAAGTGTTCTCGCAGAAACAAATAAAAGTAGCCAATGAATTAGCTAAAGCCACAAAGAAATCAACGTTCCATGCGTGCACCGGAACCCTGAAAACTCTAATCCACACTACTCTTCCATCGTCTACTTCATCCTCGTTCCACTTTCTTACCTCTGAGAATCATTGTTTCCACCATGTTTCCCTCTCTCCTATCAAGTCTTTGATTACTCCTTCCTCTGATTCTTCCAATAAGCACAGGTTTGCACCCAACGTTGTAACCTTGATCACAAATAACCCTCCATCTCAAAATATGTTTGGATATTGTAAGCTGAACCATGAATTATGACTTGACCCACATAAGAACTGTGAAATCTCACTCTGTCCTCCTCCTTAGAAGAAAACTGGAACCCACTTTTCACTCCCGCTGCCTCCTTTAGAAGAGTATTGGCCACCACCTCCATATAAGACCTATTGTTCCTTCGGTTAGCAAAATGTTCCTTGTTCCTGCCTGATACATCATGCTGATTATTCCCACCCCCATGTTTTGCTTCCCTCCAAAACCTGCCCTCTTCTGATGCCCCATTCATCTCATACCTTGGCAAATTGACATGGATTTTCCCCCCAATATTTGCACATTATCTAATCTCACTTCCAGTATCCTCGCATCTTCAACCTCCTCAAACCTTGTGAATCTAAGTCTCTTCCAAATACTGTTTCTTTTGGGTGAAATAGCAACCTCCACCACCTTCACAATACACCCAAATAAATCAAAAAGCTTCTTTGCATTGCTCCCATCTGAAAATTCTGATACATAAAAGGAAGTCACCCTTGGATTGCTGCCACTAAACGATCTTCTATCGTACGGGAAAGTATCACATTGAGGAACCCAGTTCCGGAACACCTTCTTCCTTGCACCCACCCAACCGTCATCCCTCCGGTGAAAATTCCCACCGAGCATGAGGAAGGACACCAACCCTAAGCCCCTTTTAGAGAGAGGTTGGAGCCTATTGACTTAGAAATACTCTGACTTATCTGGTCTTTTTCTCTTATCCTCTCTCTTTTGCGAAGTCCTTTTATTCTCTCTTTTCTATTTCTTTGAAAATTTATTTCTTTAAAGAAATTTTATTTTTTCAAAAATCTTTTTGCCCTTTTGAAAATTAACAATGGTCAAAGTACCATAGCCTCTTTAAAAAAGCTCTTATGTTGTCTATTTGGAAGTTAGAGTTGTCTTGAACTATATTGTGTGGTCTAACTATCATATATACTATATATTTATTGAACAAATCCTACAATGAGAATTGTGATACAATTTCAACTAAACTATTTTATTCTAAGGAAATTGAGGTTGGTAATTTGTTTGTAAATTTTTTAGTAGTACCACAAACGTCTTAAAGAGAACTAGTTAGTCAATGTATTATCTTAGTAATTTCTTCAGTGGCTAAAAAATCCTTTTAAATTATTTTTAAAATATCGTTCTAACCATTTTAAGATGTTTTCCTCCTGCCATGTATATTTAAGAAATTATTGACTCAAGTTTTTTTTGTTATTGATTAGAATAAACCATTCCAGTTTAAATTGAATCACTTCATAAGATGACAACAGGAGATCCTTGTAGTTATTGAGACGCGTGAACAAATAAAGGATAAAAAGACTAAAGAAATACTCCTCTTTAATTAAGATGACCATGCGTGTAAGAATTTTATTGTCAATGGTTTACTTGGTGATTTATATGACTATTATAGAATTTGTAAGTTTGCAAAATAAGTTCGGTAATCTCTGAATAAGAAGTAAGAAATTGAGAAATTTGACGCTAAAAATTATGATGTGTGTTGCTACCTTAAGTACCAAATGATTTATGACAGATCTGAGGAAGCTCAACCTCAGGAGATCCAAAGAATTACTCTCGGAACCATTATTAAAAGTATGTCTTTAAACGAGAAATTTCAAGTGGTTGTTGTCACAGATAAACTGACTCTTTCTTTAAAGGACTTCAAGAACCTCCTTAGGCATAAAAATAAGGAGTTGTATCTTGAAACTATGATCACCCACCTTTGTATTGATGACAAATCAAGAAATCTAGATCAGAAGATGTTGTGTTGGTTATCTTGAACAATAACACTAAAATGAAATGCATAGATGTTGCTTTGAAGACAATTGAAAAACTATTTTAAAATTAGAACCATCTTATGAATAATAACTTCAACCATAAATTTGGATCTATGTGCTTTTAGGTATGACGTTTATAGAGATCTGTTAGGTTTTGATGTTGACAACGCTCTTAAGATGATTCTTTTTCAAAAGTGCTATTCAAGGCTTGTTAGTTCAAATGATGACACGTGAAGCTATCATTTGGTGTGATCAAGCAGTAGTACTTGAAGATTAAGATGGCATAACATATCAAAGCTCGGTTGTTGTGCTGATCAAGTTATGATAATGTTTTGATACTTAGATATAAAGGTTTCAAAGTCTATATCTGAAGGACAACACCTAATGTCATGTGAAGTTTAGTGGAGTTAGTGAAGATCCCTGATCAAGCTGCGTGTTTGATGATGGTTTATATCTTGAACATTATCACAAGCCTCATGAGAAGAATATTCAAGGTTCCAGTGAAATACTAAAGTCAAATATAATATAGCAAGGAAGCAAAATCTTTAGAGTTGTGAAAGAGATGAAGTGTGAAAGCTTTTGAGTCTAGGTCGAGTGATTATTGTCTGTAAAGGTATAATATTAACTCTAAAAAATTATTACGGAAAATTACACATGCAATTTTGAATGATTAGAAAGCCCATATTATTTTTATTAAAATAAGCAAAAAAATAATTTTATGCCTAGCTAATTGGCTAAAAGCTTAAAAAGTTGTCTATGGAAAACAATTACTCTGTATAATCGGTTAAAATTTAGGCTTAATCAATTTTTATTTTTTGTAACACATCATAATCAACTATTAGGGTTAATAGTCTATTAGTAACGACTCTTTTGAAAACATTTCACTTTTGCACTTGATAATCGATTATGTGGATGGCCAAATCGATTATCAACACTAAAAATGCTCATGGATATTTTCCTTCTTTAGCCAACTTTTGTCCTATAAATAGGGGGTTCTCATTCTCTTAATTTCACACCAGAAAACGTATTTGAAATCTCTCTCTCTCTCTCTCTCTCTCTCTCTCTCTCTCTCTCTCTCTCTCTCTCTCTCTCTCTCTCTCTCTCTCTCTCTCTCTCTCTCTCTCTCTCTCTCTCTCTCTCTCTCTCTCCTTAACTTATCACATTTTCTTTATTGCTTCTTTTCATATCCCAAAATTGTCATACTGATATTACTAATCCATTCATCATGTTTTACTAATCTTAGTGTGTTATTATATTTCTTTGGTTAAAATTAATTTATTTTTACACTAGTTGTTATTTTAAGAATACTAATTAGTTGCTCCTAGATACAAGGGGGTTCAATTAGTAAAAGGGGGTGTATTGTCTCTAAATGGACCATTAAAATCTGACAGCCCATTAATTTTGTCTTATAATTAGAGAGGGGGTGTATTTGGTGTTTTGGTTCCAGCCCATTAAGAATCTCTTTGCTTGGTCCATTAGTAACCAAAGAGGGGTATGAATAACAAAACCAGCCTAGTCCAGTATGTTGTTTTCATAGTCCATTTTAAGTAAAAAGAGATGCAGTTTACAATATAGATGTGTGGTGTTTTAGGCCATCAAAATCTGATGGCCCATAAAGGGTTAACGTGTTTGTTAAGGGGGTGGTGTGATTTGTTTTTTGGTCTGGTCAATTAGGCCTCTCAAATTATTAGTATATTTACCATATAATCTTTAGGGGCCCATATGTCATTTCTTTCAGAGGCCAATTTTTTTGACTAAAGTCATTACTTATTACAATTAATATTATTTTTATAATTATTGTCAATTATTATTATAATAGTTATTATTATTATAACAATTATTTTGTAATTATATTTTTCTGAAACATTGACTAAAGTCAACAAAAGGTGTTGAAAACCATAATCTACAATGCATCAGTAGCGGCGTTGTCCTTTTATGCTAAGAAACCCAGAACCAAGAACAAACGTTGTCATATCAAATAAAAACAAACTAAATCTTACACATATTAATCAATTACAGATCCAAATCAATCTCTAAAATCAAATCTTTCTTTAGTTACAAACAAAATCGTCCAAATATGGCATCAATTATATAACCATATCAATTTACACTCAATACCTAATCAATTTCTAATCAATCTAAACCTAATTTACATTCAATTTCTAATCAATTTCTTCAATCAACAAATATAACGACAATTACGATCAAAGTCTTCCTAATTCCTAATTCAATTAGCAAATTTGTAATGACAAATCATACAATATTTCCCAATCTATCACTAATAGTAAACCTATATAAACTCCTAAGAAACTAAGAACCAGTGAGGGAAGAAAATTGAAAAAACAAATAAATAGAAGAGGAAGAGAAGACGAAGAACAAGTTACTCTCAAAGTTGTGCCTTTATGTAGATCTAGGGTTTCTGAACAGAAACCTTAAGTTCTTCCTTCAAATCGCTATTGCACCATCGTTACACCTGCAAGCAGAAGAAAAGGAAGAAATCAGTAGAAGGAGAAGGCAGACAAGGAGAATTAACAAATATAAGAAGATTCACGGTAAGGACCAAGTAAGCCTAACACTTAGCTTAGTTTAAAATTGTTGTTGTTGGTGGTTGCAAATCACATGATTAAAGTTTGAATTGTTGTTGGTGGTGGTTGCAAATCACATGATTAAAGTTTGAATTGTTGTTTCTGGGAAAATATGGGACTTAGGGTTAGGTTTTTGGGGTTAAGGTTCATAGTTTAGGATTAGGGTTCTTCGATCTTCACCTTTCTGGGTTGGGGTTAGGTTAAGGTTCTTAGGGTTCTTGAGGGTTTGTATGAACATAGGGTTATGGTTCATAGGGTTCATCCTAGGGTTCTACGTTCTGGGTTTGGAGATGAAGATTCCGGTTGAATATCAACATGAATTATGGTTTTCCGATCTCTTAAAGAGAAGCTCGTGAGAGCTTCTTTATCTAAAAATATAATAGGTTTATTGTTTTAGTGTAGAGAGAGATAGAGAGAAAGAATAGAAAAATGGGCCTTAAGCTCAGAAACCTTTTTTTATAATCATTCCCTATATCCTGTACGTCACTCTTTATGATTCGCCCTCAAACTCCACCACGTGATCATCATCAAACATTCCTAAACCGCGCATCTGTTAGAACATAGTTTGATTCTACAACCCTTATAAGAGTTTTGATGATAAAAAACACAAAGAACAAATATGCACTCTAAATTTGTGTTTTATGTTGTACAAAAG